GGCGAACTGTCGATAAATAAATATTTTTTTTCTGGTTTGATGACTACAAGGAAGATTTAGTGGTGATTTGAGCTGGAATGGTGAACTCTGATGGAAAACACTACCTAGTTGTGATGCAACGGTTTTCAAGCAGTGGTGGAGAACCCGTTTCATCCTTAGCAGTGAGCATTGCAATATGGATTAACTGTTCCTCCACAAGGCCGCACATAAACTGCCGCAGCAGAAACACAAGTAACATACATAGTACAGTCTTCCGGATGCCGATAATCACCAACCGCTTTACCAATGCAGAATGTGCTTTGGTCAAAACCTTGTGGTTGGGCTGGAGTTCCTATGGTTGTAGGTGGAGAAGTTGTAGGTGGAGAAGTTGTAGGTGGAGAAGTTGTAGGTGGAGAAGTTGTAGGTGGAGAAGTTGTCGTTGGAGTTCCTGTGGTTGTAGGTGGAGCAGTTGTCGGTGGATTCGTTGGTGCTGGTTGGAACTCAGCCACAGTGACATAAACRTTGTTTTCTTGTCTTTTAAAAAGCAGTGGAACTGTGTTTCGTGTTTCTCTACTTAATTTACACAAACTGAAGGCCGTATCGTAGGATAYACTTTTACAAGAGYCAGAATCATCTTCCAAGCACGTTAGAAGACARGTTCCCAACCTTTCTGCATAAAACGAGCGATAATGATGCTCTAARCTATAGCCTTGAACAGAAAATGTTTTCGAAGAAGGTGATTTCCGACAAAGGACGGCTGAAATGCTCATGAAAAGAGTTGCAGCCAAGACTATGCAGACATGTCCTTTCATTACTGTTAAAGGCAAAAAACAAGTATCAAAAGTCAAGACTTGATATTAACAGACACAAGATCTTACTATACTCAAACAATTCAACTTTCCTTAGTGAAGTTAGCAATTTATGAAGGACAAAAAACGTGTCAAGTTACAGCAGTGGATTCAATTGTTACCTGGATAGCATTATATCTCGAGAGATGATATCTTGAGATTTACAATCAGAGAAATCTTGATGCATATAGTTTTTTTTTCTAGTTAACTATGCTGTTACACATTAATTCAGACTACTTTGTCTGGGATGAAGATTCTAGTAGTTCAACTCGTCTTTGTAGTTATGATCACCATTTATAAAACAAAAAGTTGTTTGGCTGCTGTCTACATGAAAAAGTTATTATCCTTGAAATGATGAGTAGAATTTTCACTACAAATTTTCCGAGTAGAATTAATGAACTAAGACGAGAATAATTCTCTCTTTTATAAATTCTAACGATTTAAATATTTAATACTCACAAGAAACTAATAACGATATATGAATTTCAAAGTACACTTTAAATCGGGAGGAAATATAGATAAACTGTGTAACAAACCTGACGTTTTACTATATAAACACCCTCCATATGTCAATATTACTATCGATTACATAAATCGTTGCATCGCGACTTCCAAGTTCGCAAAGAAATCGTTGGGATTTGGGATTTTCTGCGACAAATCAATCATGTTTTTACGAATTGCTCCGCCCCGAAAATCGCAGGAACTTCAGTTTGAAGCACACGCGATGCAACGATTCGCTGTCATGACCAAAGCAAACTGGTAAGGTCGGGTTTTTTTTCCATAAAATTTGGCTTAAAGTAAATCATACCTGTCACGTCCGAGAGCCAAGGACTGACGATACGATTAGTCTGTATGATATCTCAAAACAAATACATCTGCAGACCTACAACCCTGCCGTGTTTCCAATAATAAATCGATTCACGCAGATCGGCGTCAAACAAGGTCCGTACTGAAAAGAATAAACAAACCTACATTTTTTTGAWTTGAGCCAAAAAATAAAAACAAAAAATTCATTGMTTATGAGAGRAAWACGTTTTCCATAAAACTRCGCGATTTTTATACATYAGTTTTTCTAGTTAATATAAAATCTATGAATGAAATCCTTTTTTGCAGACTACTTGCTGGGAGAGAAGTCGATGAATGCTATCGTACAGTTGGGGACTTTGCGCCTTTATAAATACTTTATAAAGTGATCTGAGGAATCATTCTAGAACAGCTATTATAAAATAAGAATAGAGGGCTTTGGATAATTTGCATCTAATTCTACTATATTTGTTTATTTTTTTCCCGTTGCACTGGTAAAACACGTTGTGGCTGAAGTAGTGAATCAAGTGCAATCATTTCTTTAAGGAAATACAGCACCGGCGCCAATGAATCCTCAAGAATCCGGGCCTCCATAAGTCACAGCCTTTTAAGAAACAATTCGTTGTTAACCTACGGATTCAGTTATCATTTATCAATTTTTAATTACCAAAGTTTGCAATCTAATACTGCTGTGAGCTTTGACAGCAGATTCGTAAATAATAATCTTGCATAAAATGTTAATCAATCGATTTTTCCAAAGATGTTTACTGTTTAAACCTAGTACAACAGTTTTTATTGGTTCTCATGCATGGTCACAGGTTCATTTTTGGTTGCCAAGCATTCAGTAACCGTGATCCCTTGCAGAAACCTATTTGAAATAAATCGTACTCTTATTTACATACAAATAACAATACTGAAGATTAATCATCAGGAGGTCTGTGGGGTCGCTCTCAGATGATGATGTTGATAATGATGACCAAAATAGAATCAATATGAATAGAATAAGACCTTGTCAAAGTGCCACTGGGGGCAGGCTTCATATTTCAGAGAAAATTTCCAAGTGAGCGTAAAAGCACAAGTTATTGCAATAATTTTTAAAAAATAACGCAACACTTTTAAATTTCAAAGACATGTTTCGACTTTCATAAAGCCATCTTCAGTTTGAATGTGATTAAATTTTACAATAAGATGCGATCAAAAGATGTAAAATGTAAACACATTCAAACTGAAGATGGCTTTATGAAAGTCGAAACATGTCTTTGAAATTTAAAAGTGTTGTGTTATTTTTAAAAATCAGAGAAAATTGGATTTAAAAAAAAGATCATGCTAATTTGATGATGCCAAGTGATGTGCTCATGGATTAATCAAATTTCCCGATTGTTTAATGTCACATTATTGCTCTGTTGTAGAAAATCCTTTTTTTAATCAAAAAATAAATCTTTCACAGTTTGGAAGGGGTATTCATTATTGACACGGTTTAAATTTGATAGAGCACTTCAGATGACTTCATCAAGATTAGAATGATGTTTTGTTAACTGCAATATTCTCTGAAATTTGGATCCTACATTCATTGCCCAGCTAATAGAGAGTTTAAGCATCACGTTTATAGGGAAAACGGTTAACGGTTGAGCTGAACCAATCTAAGAATTTCGTGCCTGACCTTGTGCTTTTGGTAGTCATTGGAAATAACGACTTTTCACGATTATGGCAAACTCAAAATAACCACTTTCACGTTGAAACTGCGACGGTAAACCCCCCAAAAAAGCAGGTTACGTGATCTTTTCTGCCGTTTGCCGCGAACGTCATGCTTAAGCTCTCTACTGATTATTTTGTTCTACTGACGCTATTTTTCAATCATAAGCACTTTAAGGTATCCGTGTGCGATTCTAGATATAATCTCCATCACACGATCATGCTGCACAAAATGTTTTGTCTTTCGTGCTGACATTTAGAGGTGCCCAAAATGTTAAAGGTGCAAAATGTTAAAGTAGCCCGTTTTTTCTTGAGTAAAGCTAACATTTTCAGCAGTGAGCATTGCAGTACGGATTAACTGTTCCTCCACAAGACCTGACATAAACTTGARCATCAGAAACACAAGTCTGTAGCCCGTTTTCTTGAGTAAAGCTAGCATTTTCAGCAGTGAGCATTGCAGTATGGATTAACGGTTCCTCCACAAGGCCGCACATAAACTACCGCAGCAGAAACACAAGTAACATACATAGTACAGTCTTCCGGATGCCGATAATCACCAACCGCTTTACCAATGCAGAATGTGCTTTGGTCAAAACCTTGTGGTTGGGCTGCAGCTCCTGTGGTTGTAGGTGGAG